GTAATATTTTTCAGAAAAGGAGTCTCCTTATAGTCAAGTCCTTATAAAAGCTTTTGTATTTTGAAACACTCTTTGATTACTAAATTTTGAACTTCAGAGTATTTGAGGAGAGTCATTAACTTAACCAGTCAGCTCTGGCTTTGGTGCATACAGAGGTTACCTTATGGAATTGGCAAAATTTTAAAATATACTTAGTCATTTTTCCCCGTAGGGGCATGTCTTCAAAATCATTACAAAACAAGCTATTTAGAGATTACTTTTAAAAAGTGGTACATTAGAATGAATAAATAAATAGACAAACCAATTGTCCATCGTGTTATAAAAATGAGTACTTATACAGTAGGTCTTTGGGTTATGAACATCCGGCTTGCGGACAACTCACACTTGCCCTTTAATGTTATGTAAATTTGCCCTCACTTTGAAACAATTGAACTAACCCCTACCGACAACCAGTTCTTCATTACAATCACCTTCCCTTGTTGCGCGTGCAGCTTTTAAATAGTTGAAAAGGCTTCAAGTCTTGTCTTGTACAAAAGTAAGGCTAAATAAGAACCGTATGCATCTGTTCCGACTTACCTACAAATCTGCCTTAAAGACACACTTAGGAACGGATCTCTTTTAGAAGCTGGGGACTGCCTATAGTTTGGGAAAACAAAGCCATTGACAGTGTCTCATATGAGTTCAGAAATGCTGTATCTGATAGCTCGAAAGGTGACTCTGTGATAGGGAGGATACTGATACCAAAGGCACATGTAAAGAATTTGGTGTAATTATTTTTTAACTTTTTATTTGACATAATTGCAGAGATACAGGAAAATTTCAAAGTACAAAGGATTCCTGTATGTTCTCCACTCAGATTCCCCACGTTAACGTTTTACTACTTTTGCTTTATCCTTTTCTGTCTCTATATATGAATATATATTTTTAGAAATAATTTGAATATGAGTTGTAGATATGATGCCCCTTTACCCTTAAGTACTTAAGTGTGTGTTTTATAAAAAAACGAGAACATTCTCTTACATAACAACGCTACAATTACCAACTCATAAAATGAACACTGATATAACACTATTATCTAATCTGTAGACTTTACTCAGATTTTGCCAGTTGTCCCAATAGCAAAAGAAAATCCTGGGTCACAGATTGCACCTATTATCATGGCCTTTTGTCTCTTAATCTAGAATAATTCCTCAGTCTTTAAGATACTGACACTTTTTTAATAAAAGAGTACAAGTCAGTTATATTATAGAACGTTCTTCGATTCTGATGTTTCCTCATGATTAGATTCAGGTTATGCATTTTTGGTATGAATACCATAGAAGTGATATATTCTTAGGGCATAATATCAGGTAGAGTGTGATAGTGATCATTTTTCATCACTGTTAATCATTTTGCTAAGGTGTGTCTGCCTGCCAGGTCTGTCTACTAGAAGGTTATGTTTTTTTTCTTTGTAATTAACAAGTATCTTGTGGGGGAGATACCTTGAAACTGTAAGTGTTCTATTCTGCATCATAATTTTGAACTCTAGATTTAGAATCCATTGCCTGAAACAGTTATTACTGTAACGGTTGCCAAATGGAAAATTTCTAAGTCCATCATCCCTTCTATACTTATTAATTGGGATAATATTGTACAAAAGAGCTCTCCTTTCTCCTTGGTTGTTTATTTATCAGTATGGACTCGTGACTTCTTTCATTTAGTGGATTGTAATCTGTCACTATCATTAGTTTGCTCGAATTGTCCCAAATTTGGCTGAGAGCGCCTTCAATCTGACACCTATGTCCTTTTGACATGTTTCCGTCATTCTTTGAACATGTCCTTATGTTTTGGCACAAGATGTTCTCAACCTTCTCTCTAGAATCAGCTGTTTCTCCAAGGAGTCTAGGTTCTTTTTAGTGGAGAATTGAATATAGAAACCAAGATTTGGGGGCTAGGAGTGCTTATAGTTATTGGATATTCTTGTTTCTTGATCCTTTCAGCTGACAGAGTTAGGAAATAGATGTATGTATATACGTGTGTGTATAAATTTAACTATTCAATAAAAAGTGACAGTAGAAAAGAACAATATTGCTAAATTAGCATATTAATCTATATTTTATGCAATTAAAAATATATATAGTTAAACAACTAAATATCATAAGTCACCATTTATATCTACATCCTAAATATATTTATGGTGGCCCCCCAAAAACTTTATCTTTTTATTTAGAAAGTGAAATAATTCCTTGAATTTGGGGTTGTCATGTATACTGACGCCTATACAATTTCACCAAAGAGGAGAAGAATATGCCTGGGTTTAAAGCTTTGGAGGAAAATTTATACTCTGATATAATAGAAATGGAAATGCGTATAAAGTCTACAGTCTTAAACCCTGTCCCCCACAAGCCACTTGGAGTTTATGAACAAGTGGGTTCATGAAGAGCTTTTCAGAAACACATTCATGAGTAGACAGGCTTCTGTATGAAAAAATTATATGGGAATATTAGTATATTTTTCCATTGTCACTTATATAAAAAGAAAAGAAGCTGAGACAGATTCCATTATAACTGCTTTAAATAAAGATCATCAATTACTTATTGAAATTTAGCTCTGTTTTCTCTTAGAAATGAAAATGTAGGTACTCAGTCCTTTCCAGTTGTCTTACGAATATTTTCTAGTTTGGTGTAACACAGGCTAAAGAAATATTTTAGCTGGTTTCTCATTAAATTCATGATTATGAGTGAACCTCCCTATGTTGCCTACCAGCTGATTATGCTGCCCTAATAAGTTTGCCTTCCCATAGACGGTTTTTCTCGGTCCTGTGGAATGTATGTACCCTTTTTAAAGAAAAAAATCTTGTAAAGTTACCTGATGCTGATGGTGTTGATGATCACACATCATGAATATAGTGCTGGCTCCTAAGGTGCAGATCTTTGGGGGTTAGCAATCCTATGCTACTAATCTTCTTCCATCAACATTTTTCTTTTTGAACTATTTTTTTTTTTAATTCTGGTGAAAATATATATAACAAAAAATATGCCGTCTCAACAATTTCTACATGTACAATTCAGTGACATTGATTACATTCTTCAAATTGTACAATTCTCACTATCCTTTTCCAAATCCTTCTACCAACATTAACAAAAAGTCAATGTCTCCTGTGCAGAAATTCCCACCTTCCTCCTACTAACCACTACTAATCTTTGGTTTCTATATATTTGCTTATTTCATGTAAGTGAAATCATACAATATCTGTCTTTTTGTGACTGACTTATTTCACTCTGCATAATGTTTTGAAGATTCATTCATGTAGTGGTATGTATCAGGACTTCGTTTCTTTTTATGGCTGAGTAGTATTCCGCTGTGTATCTATACCATATTTTGTTTATCCAATCATCTGTTGGTAGACATTTCAGTTGTTTCCACCTTTTTTTTTATTGTTGTAATTAAATGAAGTTTACATTTCAAGTTAGTCTCCCATACAGAATTTTTTTTTTTTTAACATACATTGTTATGAGACCCCAACCGCTCACCCCATTCTGCGACAGCACCCTCCTCCCCTCCGCCCCTGATTCCCCATGAACATTCAGCCAGCTCCTAACTCTCTCTGCCTTCCCATCTCACCTCTGGACAGAAGCTGCCCCTTTGGTCTCTTGTATCTACTTGACGAAGAGGCACATTGTTCGCAAGTATCACTTTATGTCCCACAGTCCAGTCCAATCCGTCTGAAGAGTTGGCCTCGGAAATTGTTTTAGTTCTGGGGTGATAGAGAGTCCAGGGGCCATGCTTTCCTAGGCATCTCCAGTCTTTTTTGAACTGTTACGAAACATTTTGTACAGTGAGCTGAGCTATCATTTGGCCTTTGCTTGGTAATAATGGATCACTTACCTATATGTCCACTTCTACTCTTTTCTCATTAGTCCACAAATTGCTTCTTGGTTGTAAGATAGTCACATGATCTAGAATATGCTAACATTTGTGAAAATGTATTCAGAAAGCTACAGAAATAACAGTTTTTATTTTAAATATGTACATCTTAATAAATGAGAACAGGTTGATACACAAATGAATGCTCAGAAGTAAAAAAAACATAGAAAATACGGGAAATCAAAAAAGAAGACACACCATCTCAAATTGCACAACCCTAATACAGACACTGTTAGGGGTCTAGAATTTCCAGTCTTCTCTTATTTTTTTTTTTCTATGCATAGAGGTGCTTTTACATTCTGTGACTATAAGGTACACATTATTTTACACACCCACTTCTCTTTTCAGGCTGTATATCGGGCAGCTGCCTCCATTTGCCCTGCCTTAGGAGTAAATTAAAAAGCAACAAATATAAATTCAGTAACTCTGTATGACTAACCAGTTGCTGTCAAGTCAGTTCTGATTCATGGCAGCCTCGTGTGTGTCAGAGTAGAACTGTGCTCTGTAGGGTTCTCAATGGCTGATTTTTTGGAAGTAGATCATCAAGCTTTTCTACTGAGGTGCCTCTGGGTGGACTCAAACTTCTAACCTTTTGGTTAGCAGCCGAGAATGTTAACCGATTGCACCATCCAGAGACTCCTCGGTATGATTAAACCAAACCAAACCCGTTGCTGATGAGTCGATTTCGACTCATAGCAACCCTATAGGACAAAGTAGAACTGCCCCAGGGAGCGCCTGGTGGATTCGAACTGCAGACGTTTTGGTTAGCAGCTGAACTTTTAACCACTACACCACCAGGGTTTCCGTTCGGTTTGATTAGAGTGCTATAAATCTTATAAATCACGTTGGAGTATATTTATTTAGGGAACCATAGTTGTATTACATCAATTTACATTTCTGTAATAATCAAGAAGTTTCATAAAAAGCCGCAGATTTATTGTAGAACAACTAAGTTATGTAAGGTGTCTGCAATTAAATATTTATCTTTGTAATTAATTGATAATAAAGTACTACTGTCTACAAATATGGTTATCAGTTGAATAGGTCACATAACTTTTAAAGTATTCAAATTTTTATTGTTTATGTATTTATAGCAATAGAAGACTTCACTGAAGCAGGAAACTATCTAAGAGGCTATGTCATCACTGGAGTTTATTCTGAAGAAGATGTTTTGATATTGTAAGTTTATTGCTGTTCTCATTTTAATGAAGATGAAGTTATGCAAGAAACGTGTTGTTTTTCTTTACACAGTTGATGAAGGAATATAGGGTAGCAGCATAACATACAATTTACTAAATTTTTAAATTTTCTTCTAGGAAGATCTTCAAAGTACAAAGCTATTTAGATTCTTTCTGGATTCTGAATTCATACATCTTCATCCTTCTATAATTTTCCTCTTTGGGTTCTAGTACCTGTAGTTTTGGCTCTTTAGAGTAGTAATAGTCTTTATGAGAATTTTACTTCTTGAGAGTCTGGGTTTTTATTTGCCACTAAAGTATATTAAAAAACCAGGGTTTTTCCATACTTGCATATTTCTCCTGGAGTTTTAGGTGATGCAGCTATACTAAATACCTAATTTTAAGTTATGCAGACATGTACTTAATACTTTTCCAGCCATTTAAGTTGCTTTATTTGTAAAAGATAGTCTGCTTCTATGGACTATCAGAATAATTTAGCTGTTGCAGAATGAAGGACTGAACTGCAAGTTTGAAAAATATCATTAATACACATCACATTCTGCAATAATGGCTTATTTTCAGGTGCCACTGGAGTTGTTAAGCCCTAGTAGTTTGTCTTTCTTACCTTCTAACTATGTTACTTACTGTGATTTCTGAATTTAAATCATCTTTCACCCTGAACACTGGTGACATATGCTGTTGATGATCAAGCTCTTGTTTTATCTGTGAAATCAGTGATTTCTAAAAAGTAAATACTGAACTCCAGATCTTTAGGAAATATGAGACATATAGACCTGACACAAGAATAATCACCTGCTATCTTCTTTTACTCTGCTGTCATTGTGCATTTAACTATAGTCGAAAGAACTAGACTAGTTTTCAGTGTTTTGTTTATGACCAAATAGTTAGCTAAGAGGGTCCTCTAGGTGATTTGAAGATTGTGCCTCTGCTAGTGCTTATAATAATATAGTGTCTGTACTTTGGCATTAATTAAGTTTTTACATATGATATGAATCTTTGAGTTTCACACAAAGCGTTTTTCCTATTGAGAAATTTTTCTTTTAGGTTTAATAAGCAAAAGTAGGGGGATTTGAGTTGTAGAGTGAGGGAGCAGTCTTTGTGTGTAGAGTTTCTCAGTTTGAATCTTATCTCCGCCATTTATCACTCTCTGTGTCCCAGTTTTCTCATCTGTAAAATGCAGGTGATAGTGCTGCTTCATAGAGCTGTTTTGAGGGTTAAACGAAAACTTAACTGAAGCACCTAGGATTGTTCCTGGCAAATAGTAGGCATTTAATAAATGCCCATCTCCTTACTCTCCAGTGTGGTAAGCAGTCCAAAAAGGTTGAGAACCATTCAGTGTTTTCTAAATCCTGTTCAGACATTTTCTTGATGAGTTAAGTTGTCTAGAAAAAAAATTCTGGCTAGATTATTATCTGTTGCTTTCTTTTAATCTAGGTTGTCAAAACTCATGAACTTCCTTGAATAGCCTCATGTTGAAGATTAGTTTCTTTGGAATTGAGTTCATTTTTTCCTTAGCAGGAGGGTTACCTGTTTGCTGTCTCGCACTGTGACCTCTCCTGGTCTAATTTTTCATGTTTTTGATGACTTGTTATATTTTGGTTGTGAGTTTTAATACTACATTTCTCCATAGGTCAAATAAATACACTACAACTATTCCAGCCCTGCTGCTTGCCAGACACAAAGAAGGAAAAATAGAGAGCATTCCACTGGCTAACACCCAGGCCCAAGACATAGTTCAAATAATAACAAACGCGTTACTGGAAACATTTGTGAGTATATTTTATAACAAGGATGTTATTTGAAATAGAAGATCTAGATCAGTTAAACATAGTGTATTTTAATACATGATCTTGCAGATTTTGCTGGCACAGGGCATGATGTTTTGTGAGCTGAAGACTCATTGGATTGCTCTTATTTATTGTTCACTTATTATGCATACAGCTTCTCTAGTGCACTGCCAAAAGACTACATGTCTTTGGATTATTTTTCTTGCTGAGACTAGTATGACTGATGATCAGTTGAAGTACTTGATCTAGGCTGAGGCTTGATACAGAGTTCCTGGATTCCAGAGCATCAGACTGCTTGGCTTCAAATACTTGCTTGATTCCCTGCTGGCTGTGTGTTAACTTCTCTGTGCCTCAGTTTCCACATGTGTAAAATGTAAGTGATAGTATCACCTGCTGCAGAAAGTTATTGTGAGGACTAAATGAGAATATATCTTACTGTACAGTGCTTACTGTACTGTGTCTGGCCCATGATAAAATATTCAGCAAATGTTTGCAACTATTCTTATTTATTCAGCTTTAGGACAAAATGCTGTCTCATGAAAGGCCTTTTCTTATGTGTTACTTTGTATAATAGTGGGTTCAAGGGTACAACATGTATAACCTAGGTTACTTAATTTCACTTGTTTTGCATTTTTATTAAACATGACTAGAATATTATAAATTTATACTTTTCTACATTTCTAAAGTAAGTCAGCACTATTATAAGATATAGATGCTGAATTAATATTCTCCTGTTAGGTTTTTTTCCATGATGATGTAAATGACATTATGTTTTAGGCTCCAATAAATGACCTTAGTCTTTATTAAGTCTGTTTATGACCTTGGTTTACAGATTGTAAATCATTGAGTTAGTATTTTCAGGATATACTTTTATAAATTATTTATTAAAGTAACATTTTTATCTTTAATGACATGTTATTAAATATTTTCTTAACACACATATATATAATATAGTAGTTTTATTGGAATTATAGTAAGCTGTTAACTTTTTGTCAGATTAAAAAAAACTATAAAGAAGAAAGTTAGAATCAGCAATACTCTTTCTAATCAAGTTTAAATTTGGGGATATATGTCCCTAAACTTTCAAATGTTTGTGGGTGTATGTGTGTGTTTGTCTTTCTTTGTTGAGGAACATTTCCATCAAGAAATGGAGATACATGTATTGATTTTTAACGTGTATAATATTGTACTTTTCTATTGATGAATATTTAACTTGTTTTTATTTGTTTTTAACTCAGGGAACATCCTTGTAGATAATCTTTGCATGTATCCATAACTCTATGCTTATGGTGGGGCCCTGGTGGCACAATGGTTAAGCCTTTGGCTGTTAACCAAAAGGTCGGCAGTTCAAATCCATCAGCCACTCCTTGAAACCCTATGGGGGCAGTTCTGCTCTGTCCTGTAGGGTTGCTATGAGTAGGAATTGACTCGATGGCAGTGGATTTGGTTTTTTTGGTATACTTATGGTAAATCCTTTGAATTTGAATTAGTAGTCCAAAGAATAGATACGTTTTGTTGTTTTTTTTTTTATTTATATTTTTATTGTACTTTAGATGTACAGAACAAACTAGTTTCTCATTAAACAATTAGTACACATATTGTTTTAATGACATTGGTTAACAACTCTACAACATGTCAACACTCTCCCTTTTCAACCTTGGGTTCCCTATTATCAGCTTTCCTGTCCCCTCCTGCCTTCTAGTCCTTGTCCCTGGGCTGTTGTGCCCCTCTAGTCTTGTTTTGTTTTATGGGCCTGTCTAATCTTTGGCTGAACAGTGAACCTCGGTAGTGACTTCATTACCGAGCTAAAAGGGTGTCCGGGGGCCATACTCTCGGGGTTTCTCCAGTCTCTGTCAGGCCAGTAAGTCTGGTCTTTTTTTGTGAGTTAGAATTTTGTTCTACATTTTCCTCCAGCTCTGTCTGGGACCTTCTATTGTGATCCCTGTCAGAGCAGTCAGTGGTGGTAGCTGTGCACCATGTGGTTATACTGGACTCAGTCTGGTGGAGGCTGTGGTAGTTGTGGTCCGTTAGTCCTTTGGACTAATCTTTCCCTTGTATCTTGTTTTCTTCATTCTCCCTTGTACTCAAAGGGGTGAGACCAGTGGAGTATCTTAGATGACCGCTCACAGGCTTTTAAGATCCCAGGTGCTACTCACCAAGGTAGAATGTAGAATATTTTCTTTATAAACTATGTTATGCCAGTTGGGCTAGATGTTCCCTGAGACCATGGTCCCCACAGCCCTCAGCCCAGTAATTTGGTCCCTCAGGGAGTTTGGATATGTCTACGGAGCTTCCATGCCCTTGCCTTGGACAAGTTGTGCTTGTTTCCCCAGTATTGTGTACTATGAATAGACACATTTTTAAGGCTTCTGATAAATATTTCTGTATTGGCCTGAAGAAGATTTGTATCATTTTACTCTTTTATCTTTGCCTATCTGATAGATAAAAATTGGTATTTTTTTTCTCTTTGAGATTATATTCTTTAAGGGTGATAAACTTTGGGCAGACTTAACAACTGTCAAAATCTGTTTACAGTTAAGACGGATGTAATAAGCATTGTGGCAGTGTTTCAGTTTAATATGTTTTGATTTGCTGTGTTCAACTAAATACTGAACAGCTATAATAAAAATTAAATTTTTTTTATTCTACTTTAGATGTAGTTTTACAGAGCAAACTAGTTTCTCATTAAACAAATAGTATATTGTTTTGTAACATTGGTTGCCAGCCCTTTGACATGTCAACACTCTACCCTTCTCAACCTTGGGTACCCCATTACTAGCTTTCCTGTCCCCTCCTGCATTCTCATTCTTGCCCCTGGGCTGGTGTACCCATTTAGTCTCATTTTGTTTCATGGAAGAAATTAAATATTTTGCTTTTAGTTTATGAGCTTTCCACAATTTTTAAAACCCTTAACTAGTCATTAAAATTCTTAAAGCTGCCATGTGTTGGAGGTTTAAGTCCAGAGTATGTAGTGACTCTATGTACGAGCCAGATAGCAGCAAGCTTATTTCCTGGCCTGTGATTAGGCATAAGAAATACCTTAGGTTAAACCCTCATTTGGATGGGAAAGGGGAGTGAATGACTAGACAGTAAATTCACTCAGATGATAAATGTGGCATAAAATTTTCATTTTAATGAACTGGAGGATGAATTGTTGTTGTTAGGTGTGGTCAAGTTGGTTCCGACTCATAGTGACCCTCTGTACAACAGACCAAACACTACCTGGTCCTGTGCCATCCTCACAGTCATTGTTATGTTTCAGCCCATTGTTGCAGCCACTGTGTCAGTCCGTCTTGTCAAGGGTCTTCCTCTTTTATGCTGACTCTCTACTTTACCAAGCATGATGTCCTTCTGTAGGGACTGATCCCTCCTGATGATGTGTCCCAAGCATATGAGATGTAGTCTCACCATCCTTGCTTCTAAGGAGCATTTTGGTTGTACTTCTTCCAAGACAGATTTGTTCATACTTTTGGCGGTCCATGGTATATTCAGTATTCTTTGTAAACACCACGACATCACAGCTTCCAGCATCACAGCAACATGCAAGCCCCCACAGTATGAGAAACTGACAGATGCGTGAGGGATAATAAATTAGGCCAGGTACATAATGCCTGAATCTGAAATACACAATAATTAACTGCATAAGCAAAGATATGTCCAAAGCTGTCACACTTAGACCTGTTTGTTAGGAAATATCATTTTCTTCAGATAAATTGAGTTCCTTTTTTATGCTTTTAACATGGATAAGTTAAGAATACAGAAAACAAGCAAGCAGACAGAAAACCAAACCTGTTGGCATGGAATCAATTCTGACTCGTAGCGACTCTATAGGACAGAGTAGAACTGCTCCCTAGGGTTTCCAAGGCTGTAAATTTTTATGGAAGCAGACTGCCACATCTTTCTCCTGTGGAGCGGCTGGTGGGTTCGAGCCGCCAACTTTTTGGTTAGCAGCTGAGCGCTTTAACCACTGTGCCACCAGGGCAGGGGCCCTCTTATATATTCAAATAGTCAAAGGTCATATTCTGATTACCACATTTAATGACCTTTTTTTTTTTAAAAAAAGAAATTATTGTGGTAAAATATATATAACAAAAAATTAGCCACTTTAACCATTTTAAGTGTACAAGTCAGTGACATCAATTATATTTACCATGTTGTGCAGCCATTACCACTGTACATTTCCAAAAGTTTTTATCACCACAAACAAACTCATTACCCCTCATGGAATAACTCTCCGTTCTCCCCTTCCCCCAGCACCTGGTAACCACAGATAAACTTTTGTCTTTATGTATTTGCCTATTTTAAATATTTCATATAAGTAGGATCATACAATATTTGTACTTTTGTGTTTGATTATTTTGCTCAGCATAATGTTTTCAAGGTTCATTCATGTCATGGGAATCATAACTTCATTTCTCTTTATGGCTGAGTAGTATTCCATTGTATGTATATACCACATTTTGTTTATCCATTCATCTGTTGATGGACACTTGGGTTGTTTCTACCTTTTGGCTATTGTGAAAACACTGCCGTCAGCATTGGTGTACAAGTGCCTGCTTGAGTCTCTGCTTTTCAAGTCCTTTGAGTATATAGCTAGGAGGGAATTGCTGAGTTATATAGCAATTTATATGTTTAACTTTTTGAGGAACTACCAAACTTTTTCATAGCAGCTGCACCATTTTACATTCCCACCAGCGATACATGAGGGTTCCAGTTTTTCCACATACTTGTCAGCACTTGTTAGTTTCCATTTTTCTGATAACCATCCTAGTGGTGTGAAGTAGTATCTCACTGGTTTTGATTTGTATTCCCCTAATGACTAATGACCTTGAGCATCTTTTCAGGTGCTTATTGGCAATTTGTATACCTTCTTTGGAGAAATACCTTTTCAAGTCCTTTGACCATTTTTAAATTGGGTTGTTTTCTTTTTGTTGTTGAGTTGTAGGAGGTCTTTATATATTCTGGGTAGTAAACCATTATCA